TGTGACTGGTTGTTGACAAATGCTGAACAGGCCACGCCTCCAACGGTGTCATGCGTTCGGACTAACCGTTAGGAATTCCTAAATGGAGTCAATTTGTGTAGTTTTCTTGATTTATTCTGCAGATATCGGTAAAATGTAGGTAAGGCTTTGGCGAAATTCGAAGGAGCAACTAATATTCTTCAACCTGGTATTTTTTTTAGATTTTATTTTTTATTTTTTTCGTCTGTTTTTTCGAGTTTAAAAAATGTGAGCTGGCTGGAGCCTTCATCTCTTGTCTATTTCTTACACTAGATACCAGCCGATACCCCCCCCCCCCCCCGCTCATAGAGACTGCGTATTACAGTTGATTATAGTTCCTGGGCTCCCTGTGGTATATGTATAGTCAACTGTGTAATAATAAAATATCATACAATAGTGGGTTTGCTGAAGGCCGTCTCAAAATCATTCACGTATATTTGCTAGTTTTAACAGTGGCACTGAATTTTCACCGTGTGGACGGAGTGTATAATTGGTATATCTATTATCGTGTCATTAGTAATAGTTTTCTGTATCGTGTGCGATGCAGTGTTACAAGAACTGAAAGTTCATAGTTTTACAACTAACTCCAGTGGCACAGTTCTTTGTAAGATAGAAAAACTGTCGTGAAGGTAAAATCCCTTCGAACATAACTAATAGACGATCGATGTATTGTATTACTGTGAAATATGTGTTAGTATCTTCTTTATTACCCATGAGAAAAGCACTCACCTCTCGTGGACGCCGCCATTTTGTAGCAGGGTAAAGTTGACATCAGAATCGGATTGGCATCTTATTGGCATCGGGTTAACATCCTATGTGGAAATAAAGGGTAATAATAATATTATATTGTGAAAAACAATTTATTTATTACAATCATAAATAATGTAATCAATTCCAGATTACCTCTGAATGTGCGAAAAATTCTGAAACGCTATTTTTTTAATACGATGCTAATCTGATGCCAATCCGATTCTAACTTCATTTTTGTTCGCTCATTATTCAACAATTTACTTCCGCGTTAGTTTCCAGGAAATCGTCGATGGAACACGGACGGAAGCGGAATGGATGCTTCGAAACTGTGCCACCTTTAAAACAAACTAGATTAGTTTAAGTTGTGCGAACTGTGTGTGGAGGGTTAGTAACAACATCCAGAAACAGTACAGCGATACAGAAAAATGGCAACATCGGGTGAATTCCAACAAATCTATTCCGATAAGTTGGAAGTGATAGGTCTGACTGGCCAAGGTGGGTTTGGTTCCGTATATAAAGCGCATCACTTGGATTGGGATATCAACGTTGCTCTCAAAGTATGCAATGCAGGCAATGGTAGCGAAGCTGAACGAAGGTGAGATGCAGTTATAGTTGGATGTAATCTTAGTAGTAGTTGTTATTCTCATGGAACTCAGGCTGACGATATGGCTGATACTGATTTTCACCACAGTCAGTTGCTTCATGTACACAGTTGATTGTGTTGCCCGCTACTAACTTTGACCTTTGCACATGCACAAAACAACGTTCTACCATTCTTCATTTAGTTTTAGTTGCAATCTTTATGCATTACATTTGGACAATCTAAAAGAAACTGAATCCCACTTTCATTAATAATGATTTTTCATTATTAGTTTTAATTTCCTCTGTACCGTGCAATGAGTTCTGATTAATTTCAGTCAACATGCCTTTTATTGTTGGCATCCAAATATTACTATTATGTTGATTTTTTTGTTCATTGTATGTCCATTTTGTAATATTGTTTTCTGAAGTTCCATGCTTATCCAATATTTAAACCATGAAGTATGTACTTGAGTCAGTAATGGATAACTACCAACCTTCATTTGATACGATATATCTAAAGATGCAATAAATATTGTTATTATTTAATTTCTACACAATTATCACTCACCAGAACAACTTATAAACATATACATATATTAAATAATTGACCGTAGTGTAATTTAAAGTTCATGGGTTAGTTTTAACTTTGACAATCATAAATCATTATAAAAAATATTAATATATAGTGAAAGGCTGATTACACAAATGCAGCCACAGCCAGATTTGCTCATCTATTTTGGGGGAGTGAATTATTTTATTACGTGATCATTAGTAATGCAGTAGATATTTTTAAAGCTCATAGCGAACAAAAAAAGTAGAAATTGACAAAATAGCAAAATTGGCCAGTAAATTGTCAATTAATTGCTAGACAAACATTGTTACCGCATATGCACTACTGTATTCATCTATATCTAAGTTATCAGATGATATATACCGATAGGTTATTATAGTGGTTTGGAGTCATTTTGTCCTAGCAGTGTTTTTTTAGCCCCGACTTATGGATTGACCTCTGTGCATCCGTGCGTCCTATATCTTAGACATGCTTGGACCAATTACATTCAAACTCCACACATGCATCATACATAATATTATACATGTGCACATCAATTTGTTTCACATTCTGATTCAAAATGGCGAAATGGCGGCCATTTTTGTGCTAACAAATCATCAAATATCAAGCATTTCTGGCATTTATGGATGGATTTTGGTACATACATTAGACATTATGGGTTCCTGATGCACGTCATTTTATTTTTCAGATCGAATTTAAAATGGCCGACTGGTGTCCATTTTGTTTTAATGAATGCAGTTCTAATGCCATATCTCTGCCATGTTTTGACTGATTATATTCAAATTTTACATAGACATTATACATCATGACATAGATATACAGTATATTGGTTTGACTATCTGATTCAAAATGGTCAAATGGCGGCCATTTTTGTGCTAAAAAATCATCAAAAATCAAGCATTTGTGGCATTTATAGATTTGTGTTTGTTCAAACTTGTATATACTGTAAAATGACTAATTTTTACTGGGTTTAAATTTCCCGGATTTGCCATTTCAGGCATATTCTTTGGGTTTTAAATTCACGGTTTTATCATTTAGATAATGTGTTCTATGCTACATTTTACATATTTACTGGGTTTTAATTTAGCGCATTTTCCAGTCAGCGAAATAAGCCAAATTAAAACCCAGTGAATAATTAACCCCTTTACAGTACATTATACATAATGGGTTTCTGATGCATGTCATTTTATTTTTGAGGTCAGATTCAAAATGACTGTCATTTTGTTTTATTAATGTATGCTCTTCTAGAGCCATATCTCTGACATGCTCTGACTGATTATGTCAAATTTTATATATTCATTATACATTATGTTATAGATGTATTCAAAATGACCGATTTTGTTTTTAACTAATTAATGCTGTTCCAGAGCAATATCTCACAATATGGACAAGTACTCGTTTGACGATCAGATACAAGATGTCAATCATATTAATGTTAAAAAATCATAATCATATTTCTGACATGTTTATATTCCAACTATATTACTATAAACTATATATCTTAAATTTGATAACTAATGAGGACTGTGCCATGCATGGCTTGTTTTCACCTGTTTCACACCCCAATGCTGTTTTGTCCCAACAATGTAATGCTGTATCTCGTCCCAGTGCTGATTCGTTCCAATGTTCAATTGTTTCTATTAAAAACTGTTTCACCCCAAAGCTGTTGCATCCTAAATTACTGTTTTGTTTCAGTGCAGTTTCATCCCTGTGCAAAATTACCATGTAAAATTGTATGGCATCCAAATTGTAACATTCATTTTAATTCAGTGCAGCAGATAGTGATTTTTAGCTCCGCTCTCGACTTTGTCAAGCAGAGCTTATGATATGAGTGATTTTCTGTCCTAGACAACATAGATTCTTGGGGCAGTCCTCTCTCAGATTTGTTCATTTCGTGATAATATCTTCAATTGTCTAATTTTGATGAATATTGTTTGTCGTTTTTGGTAAAAAGTGATATTTTCAACTTCTTGCTAAAAACCGCTAGTCTGATTGCTTTGATATTATATATATAGGTACTACAGGTAGGCCTCTCTCCGATTTGTTCATTTCATGATGATATCTTCAATTCTGTAATTTTTATGATTATTTTTGTCATTTTTGGTAAAAAGTAATATTTTTGACTTCTTGTTAAAAACCGCAAGTCCAATTGCTTTGATATTATACATATAGGTACTACAGGTAGACCTCTCTCAGATTTATTCATTTCGTGATGATATCTTCAATTCTCTAATTTTGATGAACAGTTTTGTCGTTTTTGGTAAAAAGTGATATTTTCGACTTCTTGCTAAAAAACGCTAGTCTAATTGCTTTGATATTATACATATAGGTACTACAGGTAGACAGACCTCTCTCCGATTTGTTCATTTCGTGATAATATCTTCAATTGTCTAATTTTGATGAATATTTTTGTCGTTTTTGGTAAAAAGTGATATTTTCGACTTCTTGCTAAAAAACGCTAGTCTAA